CTCGTCCTGTTGTCAGAAGAGTATTAATACAATGTAAGGGGAAAACAAAAAAAGAAGATTTACTTGTAGTAAAATATGAAGAAGTTATTGTGATATGAATGGCAGAAAGACATACCTTAGGGGAAAAAAATGTAGGGTGAGGGTCTACTGAAAAGGCTGAAAAGACAATTAATGAAAACAAAAATGCAATGAGCTGAGCTGAAGATATTTTGGTAGATCAGAAATTCTGTAGAAAAGTACGTGACTTCCTTTTTTCATGTGAGCAATAAAGGTGAAACATGGACTCCAATATCCCCAGGGATGCTTAAAAAAGGGTGTATCTCCCAACAGCAAAGCAGAGTCTCTAAGCTGTAAAAAAATTCGTGATCTTCAGAAAGAAACATGGAGTGAATTGTCTGGGAAGAGCAGAACAATACATTTGGATCGCCTTAAAAACTGAAAAAGCTTCTTCTTGGATAAAACTTTTCCATCATAACCAGAATAGTGTGCACAGCCTCAAACACTCCCACCGTGACCCAAGTGAATACTGAGAAATAAACCACAGTGTTTGCTAATACCAATCTGCTCTGTGTAAGAGTATGTTCTAAAATTGTTATATGTAAAGTAGTTACATAAAGCAATATGACAAAGACAATAGAGAGCAATCTTTCAGCAAAAATAATTTATGTAATGGGTAGTTCCCTTCACAGTATTTGTAGTCTGAGCTCAGTACCAAATAGTACCATTTAAAATCCTTTCAAGAAATTCAGCTTGATAAAGTACTGGCCCTTGCAAGATCCAGTGATGCTGAAATTTGTTAGACTATGTTTATGTTACATTTTAGTACAATATTCCTATTTTTGATAGCTTAAGCAAATGAGTAAAAAATATTATTTCCTCTCTAGCTGGTTCAATAAAAAGTATAATTTTGTACTTTTGTGATGCACTAACCAAGGGTTAAAATTTGAGGACCTTACCAGCTGTTCCAGTATGAGCAAGCCATCATCTGAGCAGCTAGACTTAAAGCAACTGGCATCCTCCTAAAAACAGTCAACTTGCAAAAAATGTGTTTACTGCTTTCCCTTTGAACATGGAATTTAAAGAGAATTTCCCTCAGTTGTATACATGACTGATCTGTTGGACAAATAACATTCAGTACTGAATAAATAACAAGGGTAAGAGATGAGTTTGCAACTCCTCAGAACTAGACTGCGTTTAAACTGAGAATATGTATTTTCTTCTTGGAAACTCACACATCAGCATACTGGGAAACTTATTAATAGAAAAAGTTATTTTAGGTATCTAGAAGTCATATGGAACTGTATTACTTATAGTTTTCCTTTCAGAATTAGGAAATTGGATTAATGGTGTGCACAAATGAAATTTTATATGGTGAGGTAGGGAAGAAATAAAAAAAAATCCCTGTGATTTCTTAATATGTCTCAAAAGCACAGTTATTTTTCCTCTTAAATATATGACATATCAAAAAGTAAGAGATCATAAAGAGGTACAAAGATTTTATTAACAGCTCTTTGAGATGTTCTCTGATTAATTTGTGGGCAAAAACTCCTGACACAGCCTCACTATCCCACTCCATCACAAAAGCTTTGGCATCGCATGAAAATGCAGTTCACTGCTTCCTATGTGAATATGGGAATATATTCTACTGGAACTTCCAATTATAGCGATTACTAATGTACTAGCACTAACTCATAAACAGCAGCTGCACTGCAGCCACGCAGTCAGAGCCAGAACTGCAAACTCACCTAGAAGCCATTGCCAGAGAAAATCTCTCAACTACACCCATGCTGATGAATTTTTTCTGTCAGTCGTGGGCAAATCAGACCTGACAACTTTGAGTCAGACAGCAACTCTATTTTGCAGTTTTCTCCATTTTTGTACACTTGCTTCTCATGAAAGTATTTGCTATTCCACAAAAATCTGTCTTCTGATCCAGATTTGATCTGTTCAAGTGCATAGGTGACTATAGCTAAGAATGTGATTTGAAATATCTGAGAATCGATTCAAGCCTTTGTCCTCTCTCAGTCAGAGCGGAGCATTCTCTTCTAAATCAGGTAAAAGAGGAATATGAACTTCAGTTCCTGCACATATTTTAGTCCCGACATTGCTATTGCAGCAATACTTTTTTTTTTCCACTGAAAATATTCTTATCATCTCCTGTTCTTCCACACCTTTAAAGCCCTCCTGTGAGAATCAAAAGCTGTCCAAAAATGGCCCACCAGTTTAGCTTCTGCTGGATGATTTGTTGGTCTAAACTTGGCTTCAATACTGTCTGAAGATTAAAGACTCAATAGTATGCATGTCACTGCCAACTTCAACCATCTGTCATTACTCTCAAGTATGTTTTAGCTGTGATATTTACCTACTTGCTGGTGTTTTGTAAGCAGAACACAAGATGATGAATACCTCAGCACTTAGCCTTTCCAGAGACCTTACCTTCTGATTTAGCACCCAGCCCTCACTCCCGACTTAGAGAGAGCTCCCAAACCAATCCCACATCAATTACTTTCCCTGTGATAATCTAGCAGCTGGATGACTAAAGTATGAAAGATTTCATTCTGAAGCAGCATCCAAAAACTTCAAAATATCCAAGACCCTTATCGAAATTATGAACATTTCCAATGCATATTGGTGTCTATGTCTATATGCATGTGTAGTACATGAAATAAAAGCATAGCCATTCGCAAGAATACCACCTTACGAGCCGACTAAGAAAGCATTGTAGAAATTGAGATAAAAACTGCACTGTAATTTATGCCAGAACAAGAAGTGCAGTTCCATTGATGACTAATAAGTGGTCTATCAAGACAGAAAACTGAAAATCATTACACAGTTTTAGCAAAAGTGCCGAACAGTTCACAGTCCTGGTGTGGCTTTTTCAATTATCTCTTTTTAAACTACCTTGGTGAAGCTGTGTCTTTCTCTGGATAGGCTAGAATTATTGCTGTGATGTGGAATTATTTTATAAATAGCATCTGCAGCTAACGAAATGTGTTCATTTGGTTATACAGTATCTCAAAGGGAAAGACTCAAATCCAGGTTTCTCCAGATGAGTTCTTAGTACAGTCATGCCTGCTCTCATTTAATGACTTTTGAAAAAAACCAAAATCTGAACTAGAGTTCACTGCTAAGAGGAGAATGGTGAGTGCTATAGCACTGTGCCTGAGGCAGGACCTACGGCAAACCATTTTCTAATATTCACTAGCCCTTCCAGTCAAACATTTACATAAAAAAGCAGCAACAATAACACTGAAAAGAAGAAAGCAATACCTTGGGTATAAGATGGAGGGATGAGACTATTGGAGGGAAAGTGAATAAATGGGAACAACATGAAAGATGATGATGATGATGATGAGCGGAAATCACATCAGTTAAGTGCAATTGAAAGAACAGTGATTGTTTCGATTGGACTTCATGATCTTAGAGGTCTTTTCCAACCTTAATGATTCTATGATTCTACTAGAAGCATTTGAAACTTTCTTCCTTGTTTGCCAAGAAGGGTCTGATATGGCATCTACATTACTCTCTACAGATAACTGGTTATGCTAGAATGATCCGTTTTTGCGCCGTTGTTCCAGACACAGATTTTACTAGCATTCATAGTCACTTTTTCTTGGGGATCTTTTTCATTAATGATGCACAATATTACAAGAAGAAAGAAAAAAACTTCTTTAGCCTTTACCTGTCTCCATTATTAAGCAGCGACCCCTTAAAACCTTATATTTGGTGATCTAGGGTAGCCTCTGTATAGGAACTATGTCCTTTCCCCTTTCTTCCACACCTTCTAGTAGAAGGTGTTTGTCCATTAAACTCATTGACCCACCTGAGTTCTATGGTCAAAGTGCTGACAAAACAGTTAGAGTTTGGTTTATGTCCATTATCGCCTGCTTGTGTCTTTTTCATGATTTGTTAGTGTATTCTGCTGCTAGGCTGAAACTGTAAAATATACCTCGATGTCAGTGGGAAATGTTCTGTGCAAAGTAAATAAAGCAAAAGCATTAGTGTTACTCTACTAATAGAGTAGATAAAGAGTACAAAAGAGTAGAAAAGTCTAGCACTGATTTCTGTGTTTCAATGTGGTCACCCACTTCCTGTTTTTCTTAGTTCAATCTATGGTAACTACGGAGGTGGATGTTTTAGTCTGCATCTTTTTTTTCAAAGTTGTTACCTCATAGTGTACATAAGGAATACCAGTCACGGGGAAAGCTTAGGACTACTGCATTTTAAAACAAAAGCTGAGGTATTAGTACACCTGGTTGCATGGGCTCAACTAGGGGGGCCTCATAGTGGACATAGTATCTTCACCCCTCAAAGACACCACCAGTTACAGAAACAATTTTCCTTGTAAGAGCAGAAAATCCCTATCAAACCATTACAGTCTTTCAAGCAATCTTTTTACATTGTAAGATCAGAAAACACAGGAGAGCCAAACATTAATATTCTTGTTATTCATAGCTCAAATAGGAAAGGCCAAAGTAAGTAAGCATTAAGAATTTGTTTCTCTAAAAACCCTCATGTTATGTTGGATATACCATTTTATTAAATGGCGATCATTACTGAACACATTACAAAATTAAAAAGATAGATTTTATGCAACATTATATCTTTTTATTCCTTTTTACTACAATCTTATGTTTCAATTAATCTTGTTTGAGGTTTACGGTTCTGTAACACTTCTAATTTTTCTTAACCTGTAAGGAACATAAAACACCACCTGCTCTCAGGAAGAACTTGAATGCAAGAAATAGTTGCATTATAGTCAGATAACAAATATGCGTAAGCTTTTGCCATGTTTGAGCCATACTACACACATGGTGCTGCATACAATTTGGCAAGTATAATTCCAGCCAGAGAGCTGTGAAAATGTAGAGATTGTTTGCTGGAAACAACAGAGAAGACAATTATCAGTAAATGAGTAAGAATATCCATGGAAGCTCCTTTCCCCGCAATATAGTTAAATAGCATAAATATGATTAGCTGAATATCTTGACACAACTTACCAATTTCCACTGGGAGATGGCTGATTTGATTTTTTGACAGCTCCAGTACTCTCAGATCTTGAAATAATGCAATGTAAGCTGGAATGGTTTGTATCAGTGTGTTGCACACATGCCATTCTTTCAGATAGATCTGTTCTTTGAGAGAATCTGGGAATTCCTGTAAGTGAAATAATAACTGGTTAATAGAAAGCATCAAGTTAGAATTTTATTCTACCTGATTTCTAAATACAGGGGTGGAAAATTCCAAGCCAAACCTCAAAACTTTGTCTTGATTATCTTGACGTAGAACCAGCAGTTTGCCAAACCCTCATAGGAGCTGTTTGCTTTTGAAGATCATTGCAGCTGTCATCACATACTGATTTTTTAACTGCTAATGCAACCGTTTTGCTCTAAAACTGAAACCTGTTTGAAGCACTCAACCTGTTTAGTATCTTCCATATTACCTCCTTTATCCAGCTGGAGGATTTTTTTAAAATTCATTTCAGTGCTTTAATTCATAGATCAAGATGTAGTAAAATTGCACACAGATCAGAAGAGTGGGTGTATGAGACTATTTAAATAGGGTTTTCCACCAAAAAAAACCCAAAAAAAGTGTGACTGTGTTCTTAATACCTGCCAATATTTCAAAATTTGTTTGCCAAGATGGAACAGAGTCCAAGAAGCAGACAAATTTCAGACAGGATACACGTATATCATCTTTTGAAAGTCTGTTTTCAAATAGGTGACTTAACTTCTTAGTAATTTCAGCAACATTTGGAAATTTTTATTAAATTTCTTTAGGAAGAATACAAATACTGAATTTTTGTATCAGTCCACAATTGAAATTAATTCTTGCCTTAGCCGTGCAGAATCTTTTTCTTTAAGAACTCTAGTATTGTTCCAAATACACAGCAAATAAATTTGTTTCTGAGCAATTTTCAGGCTATTCTATTTGTCAAAAATCTCCAGTGTAAAACAGTTACTGAAACTAAAAATTTTAAAGCCTTTAATTCATACAAAATTGCTGTAGTTAATGGGTATGCAGTTCAGATGTACACATCTTTGAATTATGTCATCAAATTCCTTTACCCTGAAACAGACAAACATGAGTTCAGAAAGTTGGAGGTCAGATTGTTTAAACTCCACTTGCTAAAGCCGCGCAGAATTTACCAGTCTGTCCCGGGTTTTATACCATTGTGCATTGGTAACGTGTGGAATAAACAGTCTGGATGAGGTGCTATCACTAACTTTGCTCCATGAAACAGATGTAAGGGTTTCAGCCTCTAATTCCTTTATAACTTCAAATTTTGTTACCTGTGCATGAAGAATACAACCAGCAGGAATTACCAGTTTTTATACAGAGTACATTGCCCACTTTTTTTCCTTTTACATTTCATAGATCCCCCAAGACATTAACAAGTGTGATGCATTTTAGCAATTTTTTTTATTAATTCTGAGTTTCTGAACTAGAAATAGTGCTATTTAACTCTTAGCTAATTTAAAACATGTAATTGTAATTAAAGATATACTTGGACTGTTGATCTTAAGCTGTTCTTTGGTGGTTGCTGCCTCAAATTTAAGTTCTTTTCAAATTTACACATGCAGACACTTAATGTATATATGTAGTTCTGTCTTGTTATCTGCCCTTCCATATTGGATATGGATCATTTCATTTCTTGCTTCGTTTTCCCACTAGGTACATATTGCATTGTGATCCATCTTCTACATTTGTCAGTTTATGCTAGTTAAAAAATCAAATGCCTGAAATGCCTCAGGGCTGGTAATGAGAAATCTCTCCAACTTTCTGGAGCAAGTTTCCACTCCTTCACCTTCAGTGCTGCACTTTTTTCCTGCAGCAAAATCAAAGAATAAAAAACAACTGCAAATTCAGTTAGTATTGTCTTTCCCACCTCTGTAGAATTGAAAATGCAGCACATAAGGGACAGCATTTAGCTGGAGTGTCATAGATGCCACTATAGGGAAGAACTCTGATTCACAGAGAAAGAAGATGTAGAACAGTCAAACTGCAGGGAAAAAGTGCCTGAGTAGCAGACGCCATTTTCCACTTTATTTCTGCACTGTCCAGGTCTGTCTTTGTGTTTCTACTGACCTACTGGTTTCTGCACCTCGTTGTCACGACCGACCATCTCCAGCTCCTTAGTGGCAGATATAGCAGGGAGCAAAGGGGAACACTTGCCCCTGTGAAGCCAACAGACTTGCTCTTCTCCCGTATCGAAGGGGGTACCTCACAAACTTTTCCTTGCTACATCGAAAACAGTGCAGCACACAAAGCACTCTCTCAGACTAAGACCAAAATCCTTCATAATTTTAGAAAAATTAAGCCAAAATATTTTAACAATTATTTATGCTTGACACAAAAAAGATTTTTTTAAATATTTTCTGTTGTATTAAGCATAGTTTAAGGCACCAAGATATCCTTGTGCAGCCATTGAAACAAATTCAGACATGACTTCAAAAGAATGGAAGCAGGTTCCACTCTTCTACCAATTGCCCTGACTTACTTTTCTTTCCTGAGTTTATTTCTTTGTAGCTTCTAATCGTATTTACAATTTGCAAATGTAAGTTTACAAATACTTTGCTACAATATGTTTTTTAAGCATTCTCCATCTTACAGTACATTTTATTTGTGTGCTGAAACATAAATTAATGTGATATTTTACTTCATTTACAAACTAGATAGGGATGGGAACTGAAATTTGCACAAGATTTAGGTTTGCTTTACTTTCTGATTCCCTTGTGTTATTTTGTAATCTTCTGCTACCACGCTAAAGCTGGCAGCCTGCTAATAAATTGTTCCATGAAGACTGACACTTGGAAGGTAGCCAGTCTTTTGCCTTCAACAGCAAAACAATACCTCAGACTCCTTTGATTTTTGGGAAGGAAAAAAGAAGTATTAAAAGGAAATAAACAGCAAACCTACAACCATTCTTGATTATACTGTTTCTAAGCAGGAGAGAACTTACCTGCTAGACATGAGCGTGAACCAAAACTGTTATCAAACCTCTGAGAAGTTTCAGTTCTGTTTTTTTTCCAGCTCTGTGGTTATATCTGTCATGGGCCAAACCAAAACCCTGGATCCAAATCTCCCTCATCTTTGAGAAAGTTTGGAGCTAGTTCCAAAATTAGTATGTCTCAGGGCCCTGTATTACCTGACTGGACCAGGAATTTTATATGTTTTGGGGAAAAAAATCTCTGAAACTTATTTTCTTTTGTCCATTCAATGCAGCAATTCTACCTGACCCTTTGTGGCAAACGAATACCTCACTGTCACTAACAGTTGGGAATCACAAACGAAATTCTCTGTTTTCTGTAAAAATACACAAAATGATAGATGATAAAAGTGGGAGAATAAATAAAAATGGAGCAGTTAATTTGCAGCCTTCTTCTGTGAAGAAACGCTATTCAAGAATGTCATGATTTATGAGTAAAAATTTTTACCATCACCAATTCCTTTACTTGTGCACATTTGACATTAAAGTTGTTTAAAGTAGGTATGCCTTCAAGTCCTCTGCTTAGGTAAAGCAGTGCAGCCAAGTACAGTCCTGCTCTGTATTTAAGTGAACATCATCACCTTTCCTTTGCCAATATCACTACCAAATATTCAAAAAGGCATTTTTCCTGAATTTTTTCTGAAAACCATTTAAAATTCACTGATCCATTAGAGAATAAACATTCATTAGTTAGGAGCAGAAATTAAACACTCAGGGGGGAAAACAGAGTTAAAGAGAATTCACTGAAAAAAAGTATATGAATATTCATAGCATTGTTTTGCCACAGTTTTCACGCTGCTGTAATACCAGTGCTATTTCTATGAAGAACTAATTTAATTCAGTAGATACAGGTTTACATGTACAAAGGATCTCAATAAAGTGTTTCATCAACTCTCCATCATTCTCTCCTAGGCAACCGATTCAAACACATAATTCAAGAATCCATATTCCTTTTACAGCTCCTTTACATGGTGGGTTTGCCTGGAAAACTCCCAAATAAACAAAAAGGTTTTCTGAAACATACCTTGGGAACATATAATACTTGTGGTACAGTACACCATTCTCATGCAGTGAAGTCCTAAGGGTTTTGCAAACAGAAGAGGATTTAGGAGACTCCCTCCTGGGGCAATACAAGCGGGTTCTGCTCATTTTTTTTATAAAGAAAAGCAAAAATCCTGTCTGATTTCATTCACAACATCAGATTGTGAGACTAGCCCACTTGTTATTATTAGACCTATTCTTTCCCCAGTACAAATATTCATTCACTACTGTTCCCAGCCAGCAGAAATACACCACACAGGAATGTAGACACTGCAGTCTAAATATCTGGTTGGTGTGCAAAAGAGGAGGCAAGGACCACCAAACCTGAAGGATGTTGTCACAAAACTCCTTCCAGGTGGAGCTCTGACAGACAAAGGTAAAACTATCTCATTACTGCAGTTATCAACCACTGTCCACAGCCAGAAGCTAACCACCCCAGGCTTCCATGGCCATACCAGTACTCAATTTACAGGAGGACTTTCAGACTCAGAAGGACTCACTGAGTATACGTTCTTCAAGCATAAAGGCTTGATACTAATTCTACTTACAGCGTTGTAGTTCAGAAGACTTGCACTAAGTTAGTGTGACAACTGTTTTGACATGAGATGTCTAGAGGCCCAAATTGCATGTCTCAAAAAATTAGACTAAAAGTGAACAGTAGCTAGTAAGAATTAATGATCTGCAAGGAATTATGTATCTCCATAAACAGAATACAATTCTTCAGAATTCATATACTGTAAAATCAAGCCCTACTCTCTTTAGCTAGTACTCTGTGCCTATTTGTCTAATCTAATATTTGTTGTATGAGCTTTATCTTTCCTCAGATAGGTTAAAATAACTACTTTACAAGTACAAGGAACAGTGGGTCTCCATCTAATGAAAATCAGCTATCACAGAATCACACAATCACAGAATGGTAGGGATTGGAAGGGACCTCTGTGGGTCATCTAGTCCAATCCTCCTGCTG